ATATATATATTGCATTTGGAAAACTACCTGGCAGTGACTTAGGGAAATAAACTTTCCTCCTGAAGGACAGCAGCTCATCAAGTCTAATTATGTCTCTTTGCCAGAAGGATTATTTGAAACAGACCAAGGAAAAGCTCTGAAACCCAGGACAGGTTTCCTTTGTAACAGACGTTTGCATGTATCAGGGTAAGTTCCATTTGGAAGGGTGTCTCCCTCTGTGTAGCAGAAAGAGGGAGAATGTGTAAATCTCCACAAACTCTGGTCAGTGGAGAAGGCATGGATTTTAATCTGGACAACATCCCTAGCCTGGGTGACTGTGCTTTGCTGATCTTCTCCCCAAATGCTTCCCAGTAGGATCACCTGTGGAGTTTCAAGAAGGATCATTGCTGCTGCCCTCCCCCTCACATTCCCTCAACTGGGTGGGTGGAAACCACAGTGTGGTTTCAGGGAAGTGCTCCAGGGGATTCAGGTGCAGGATTTTTGACCTCAACACCAGGGATTCCTGGTCTCCCCGCTTCAAAGAAAGAAGAGGTGGACACAAAATGAGCCACAGGCAGAGGTGAGTAGTGTCTAAGAGAGGGAGAGTGGTGGGAAAGCTCGCTGTACACAGAGGGGTGTCGGGAGGGTGAAAACCCGAGACAATAGGCAAGGATCTTTGTTTTGTGAGGATTGGGTCTCTCCCACCTTCCCTTTCCCCTATTTCCTTTTCACCACCTACTCGTATTGGCTTGCTAACACTAGGTGTTGGGTTTTCCATTCCTGATTGTCTCATTCCCATTGTACTCAGGATGGTGAGGCCCCACAGTTCATTGTGGGTCATTCGTTTTATGGTCTACCACTAAGTTGGGTCTTCTGTCAAATTCCTGAGGGAACCTGAAGGGAAGTCGGTGATATGTGTTACATCTTTAAGAGGAACCTTACACCTGAGGGGGTTTGCTGTGGTCAGACACTCCCAGCATTGTTCCAGTGTTTTGGAAAAAAAGTGTTTTTCCCCACCCAGGGACCTCAGGTCCTAATCTTTCCCTT